ACACATGGGGATGGGACTCTTGACAGGGCCTGGGACCCTGGGCCTCAGAATTCATCTGCCTCATGTTCCTTGTGGGTAATCCCACTGAGGGCCTGCTATATCCCAAAAGCAATAACTGATGGCTAGTAAATGCTGGTCCCTAACAAGATTATAAGGCATCCACTGTACCTGCTTTTCTCTTTCACCGTAATCATATCAACTTCATTGAAATAGGAGCTAATCAATAAGATACACCTTTTACTATAAGGCCAAGGATTATATTATCAGCCTTTTCTTTTAACTAGAGCTCACTGTTGTCATGGTTTGGACCTCATATGACAAAAACCTTGTTCTGGACTCGTTCTTTCTCTTCCTTTTTGCTTTCATTCTTTACCTGTGATTTCATTCTATGAAAAAATGTGACATCAGATAATAAACTCTTGGCAAAGATGACTTGTGACATTTAGGAAGATGGATTTAAAATAATTATTAGACCGTTTGCTGTATGACTTTTGCATCCAAGAACAAAGGATTGGGTATTATTGAATTTGAGCAGTAAGGGTCATTAAAACACACACACACACACACACACACACACACACACACACTCAAATGCAAACCTCATAGATGAAAATGGTCATCTTGCCACGGGCTCATGTTATTGGAAATGTATTGAATATCTGACTCCAGATGGTCAATTTCTGGGAAGCTGGGAATAAGAACTGTTTTTGGTTTTGTTTTATTTCATAAAAGTCCCAGTTTCATTAGCTATCAGAAATCTCATGGCCAGCTCTGTTGCTGTGAACTTTTTCTGAGTGTACTAGTACTTTTATTTTAAAAAAGGTTATTTCCTATTTGAACTTGATTCTCCTCTATTAGCAAAAAAGCTCTCAGGTGTCTGGAAAATCTATGAAATATATTTTTTTCTTCAAGAAATCTTAAGAAAAGATTTTATTGTAATAGGGGAAAATTATACTAATTTATTCTTTACAATTTATTATTTTTTAGTTTTTGTCTGATTTTTTCAAATTATGAGAGCCAGACTTTTTGAATCTCAGACTTTTGATTTTCTAAGTCTTTCAAAAGTGTTTTGTTATATCTTTTGGAACTGTCCCTGCAATCCCTTTCTTGATAATTGCCAAGTAAATATTATTTTAACTTAGGCCTGCAACATTCATCAACACTTCTCTATTTGTCTCATTAAAGGAAAAATTCTTTACTTCAGTGTAATGTAAAAACAAATGATTGTGTTTTGGGATAAGCACAGCAGTTTAGGAGATAATTATAACTTGACTGAATCATTCTTTCCCAGAAATGCATTTAGGCATAAAGTATTAGAATTTATTTGCTTTTGCTAAACTTTGCTCCCCCACCCTCTGCCTCCAGATTTCTGGGCATTTTTTCTTCAATGACTTGCTTTCCTGCTAACCTTGAACAAGTGTGTTGTTATGATTTCAGCTCACCATGTACATAACAGTGAAACTAAGTTGTTAACTCGAACATTTATTTAAATTAGTTAGACATATCACACATTCAATTTAACTCTCTGAGAAAAGTTAATGACTAGTAAAAAAGGAAGATTAAACTTATGCATATATTTATTTAAATGTTTTGAGACTATTAGAGAATGGTGTAAGTTACTTGTTAAATATTTTTCTGGATTTCCTAGTTATTTTTGAATCAGATAACCTGATGATTTGTCAAATTTTCATTAAGAAATAGGTTCATCATTATGCTAATTGCTTTGTGCTATTTACACCAGGTAATTTAAAGATCAGTAGACCACTTCAACAACCCGGATTGTTTCTGAGAAAATGAAACTTTATATATATATATATATATATATATATATATATATATAATATTAACTGATTTCAGAGAAGAACAGAGAGATAGATTGAAACATCAATGATGAGAGAGAATCATTGATCAGCTGCCTCCTGCAAGCCCCCTACTGGGGATTGAGCCTGTAACTGGGGCATGTGCCCTGAGCAGGAATCAAACTGTGACCTCCTGATTCATAGGATGATGCTCAATCACTTAGCTACACTGGCCTGGCAAGAAAATGAGATTTTGACTTATAGTATGGGCTATAATGTGATTTTTAGTTTGTTTGGTTAAACCTGATTAGCACAGCTTTAGTAGAGCTAAAGCTTACTCTTCAAATCCCGACGGGGGGCGGGGAGGGATGGTAGAAAATAAAAATAAACTTTGGGGGGCATACAATGGCATAAATGTTCCACTGGGAATATGACATTTTTTACTTAGAAATGCCTTAGAGCCCAGTAACACTGTTTCTTACCACCCCCATACCTCAATAAAACCTGGATATTTAAAGAATTCATATTACCAAGGTGTCACTAATAGAGATTAGTATATTCATTGTTGGGCCAAATCTCTTTCCCACTTCTGATTTGGAGATAACCTAGACCTCAGTCAAGATCAGCTTCTTGTAAAGATAACTCTGCAGGGTAATATGACCCTGGAGGCTTTCTTCTTCATTGGCTGGTCCTTGCCTATTGAGAGATGACAGGCTCAATTAATTATTAACAGCAGTTTCAGCTCTGCCTGTTATTTTATCTCTGCTGCTTTCCTGCTGAGGGCCAGCCAGGGCATGAGCCAGGGGAAATTGATCTAGAAGTTACCATCACCCTGTCTGGGAAGTAATAGGATTTTCTTTTTCTCTCCCTCCCTTTCCATCTAGCTCACTCTCAATATTTCATGGGATTGAGACAATCTTTGGTAAAATAAAATGATGGAACCTTGATTATCATAACATATCAAAATGGCAGAGATGATAGTTTGTCTTGGAGACAGTCCACTCTTAACAGAGATATTAAGCTTTCTCACAGTAAGGACATGCTGACCTTCGGCCTCACCATGGTATTAGAAGCAATAGGCAAAACTTCAAGCCTGGAATTGGGAGAAAGGAGATCATAGAATTTACGGAAGTAAAAAAGGAGGAACCAGAGAGAAGGGGCTTCTGAAGTGGATTCTGTAGGGGTCAAACTAGATTCCATGGAAAAGAGCTTTGAGTCATTTTTTGGGCGAGGTATGTACTCATGATCTGAATGAGTACATACATTCTCTCATTACAGTCTCTCATTACAATCACTCCTACATTTGCACATTGGTTCCATTTCTGATGATGGACTGTGTCTATGCATACTTGCAGACATTTCAGGTGAAACTCTGAGGTAATAAACAAATATAGGCAGATTCTAGCTTTGTATGAAAACAGAACCTACTGGTCAAACTCATACTTGTCTAAGTGAAACTCTAGAGTCAATGTTACAAAACTATTTTGAGTCCCAAACTCAATTACATCCTTAAGAAAAAAGGCCAAGTTTAGAAACTTTGTTTTGCAGATAGTCAGGATCCACAATCAGATTATAAACTAGTTAAATATGGTAGAAGACTCCTCACCCTGGTCTGCAAGGAATGGTTCTCCTTCAGGGGGATAGTCTTTCAATCTGGGAGCAAATGTGTGACAGCTTTGCTTGAAGCCAGCCCTAAACCAATGTGTTCTAAAATGTAATTCTTGGGGTGGTGTGTGTGTGTGTGTGTGTGTGTGTGTGTGTGTGTGTGTGTGTGTAGGGATTGAGCAAAGAAGAGAGAAAGAACTCATGGACATGAACAATAGCATGGTGACTGGGGCGGGGGTGGAGGTAGAAGAAGGCATAGGAAAGATAAATGGTGATGGAAAGAAAGAAAAGAATTAAAAAATAAAATGTAATTCCTGAAATACAGTCATCAGGAATGCCACATGTGTTTGTTAAAATGCATACTCCCAGGCTGTACACCTAAGCCCAGGATTATGCATTCTTACTGATCACCCATGCTTATAAATTTGAGAACCTCTACTAAAGCTGTACTAATCAGGTTTACCCACAGTCACCCCCATATTCTCTTCTCCATTTCCTATCTCTCATTACAATCACCCCTACATTTAAGGAGATTCTTGTGTTTCTATGAACTCCTGAATGATAAAAGTTGTGACACTCATGTTTGCTGTGTTATTTCTAGCATCTATTATTATGCCTGGCAGATAGAAGAGTTTTAATGAGTATTTGTTAAACTGGTTGAATTAAATAGAGAGATAGTAATACAGTCAGAATAATGGAAGAGCTAGAGCTGTTAGCCTGAGTCATGCTGTATTAGGACAGTAAGAACTAGGTACCAAAGTCTTCCTTAAAGTTAGTGCCTAGTTGCTCCTTTTGGATGGAAAATAGTTCATTTGAAGGGGATACATGGAGAAGAAATATGACTCATTCTATTCCACTGATTACAAGGTAGCTTTCCTTTGCCCACCCTCTATTTTTCCTGATAATATTTTGTGCTGTTCACAACTTCTTGGTACATTCAGAACAGAGCAATATATTTTGCTCTGCTTTTGGTCTTGTTCCTAAGGGAAAAATCAGCGTTTTGTGTTTTCCCAAGGAGATGCTGTCCCAGGACACTGTTCCCAAAGGACTGTAGCTCTGATTCATCCATCCATTCTTCCTTCCTTTCTTTCGATTGCTTTGGTTTTATTTAATTTCTACACATGCTAAATGTTAATAAAACACTGAATGCTGTACACAAACACATTCTAGAGGACACGAAAGGATGGACCTCATGGCTATTTGTTTGAAGCTTGCCCTCCATGACACGTTCTGTTCACAATTGAGCTGTACACTAAAATGGGATTGGTGGCACCCCTCCCGTGCAGTGTGACAAACCTCTCATAAGAGGATGATGCTAAGTCCTTTGACTCTGTCTAGTTTTGTGGTTTTCCCTCTCCCACTGTTACCAGGAACACCTGAAAATGTAGTATGGATTACATGACTACTGATGCCTACAGGGGAAACATTCAATGCTTGCTTCTGAATACTTTTTTTGTTTTGTTTCCTTTCAATATGAACATTATAAGATGTACTCAAACCCATGAAATTGAACTTGAGCTTGCCAATGAGGAGTCTACTTGGGTTCTGGACTTTACCTTGATAACAATAAACTTTTATTTATTTTACTGGGAATCTTTACATATCCTTATCAGAGACAACAGAAATAATGCTATTATTAAATAAATTTGGGGCTTCTTGTAAACATTCTGGAGAGTCCTGGACCTCTTGGGCAGGATGAGCCCCCCGCTGGGCTTCCAGCTCCTGAATCTTCCTTTCCTTTTCCTCTAAAACTTCTTGCAGCTGAGTTATCTTCTCAGTCTGAAGGGAAATCTGGGTTGACAACTCCATAATCAGGCTCATTCTCCGATCACCTTCTTCCACAGGCGGGAGGCTGCCACAGGACTCTTCCGGTGAGTTGTCTTCTAAAACAAACAGGAAAAGGAAAGTCTGAGCAGTTTTAATTGAATTTCCCAGAACTCAAAGAGAGGGAAGATGAAAAGCTTCTTTTCTCACGTTCTTAAAAGACAACACAGATGTTGCATCCTCTGGTCAAAGATACTGAGAATAGAATCTGGATCCCACTGAGGGGGAAAGATTCTGGGTGCTCATGAAAAAAGAACTTGGAAGCCCCTGGAGAGGGAGCAGAATCAGTCTTTGCCAACTCTTTCTGATGCGCATTTAACTCCCAATTAACCCTGGGAATGGGCGGTCCTTGAAAATCCAATCTGAAAACAAAAGCCATCCCAAGTTGCATGTTATCCCTTTCTCTAGGACTTTCACAAAAGCTACATTCAAGTAGAAATATGCTTCAATTTGAATTTTAATTCAAAGGGGTGGGGGGGGGAGGGAGAGGGGAGAAGGTCATTGCCTCTTCTGGGAGAAGTGGTAATGAGAAAAGACTAGTTTCTTTAGCATTGGCAGAGCATAATTTGAGCTGATCTAGAAAAACTCTATTAGCATGGGATCTCCCATAGAGATTCGTTTCTTTTAGGTCTGAAGGCTTCTGAGCATTTCTTAATGAAAATCACAAATACTTCCTGGACATAAAAACTTATCCTTTATCAATTTCTATCATTTTAACTCCTCAGATAAGGATAAAGCCCTGAGTAAGGAGGGAAAGGCTCCAACAAATGGGTGAAAGATTAGTGGCCAGCAGCCGGAAATCCTTGAAAAGAAATCTCACTCAACCATCAAAAAATTTAGCTGCTGAAAGCAAACCTCATCCCATTAGACTTTAGCAACATCTTCTTTAACACTCTCATCCTGAAATTTCCAAAAACCATTAAAATTATTTCTTGCGTTATATAAAAAGGCAGACTTCAGCGATAGGAAGAGGCACCAACTAATAGAGCCAGTAGCATATGGATGAATCTGATGGCCTTGATAGCTAGTTGTTATAGTAGAAGGTTCAGCATTCACTCGATCCCCAGTGAGAACAAACCCTACAGCTGCACTTCTCGTTGAGAATACAAAGCCTGCTACTATTGTGTAGCTGCTGAAGGTGAGAAGGCTTAGCTGTGGTAGTCCATGAAGGCAGGCAGTCACCCATTTCTCAGCAAATAGGACTAATTTGAAGTCATCACTTTCCTGAGGGAGCCCAGGGTGAAAGCTTGTGCACTGAATTACACAGTGGGCAGGGTGCTTTTGGCCTCATAAAACTGATGGGAGGAGAGATCAGACTGTTTCTGCTCCTAGAAATTATTATTAGCAACGTACTAGCTTTTAAGAAACCATGGAGAAATTTTTGTTTTGAACATTTGAAATTCTAACAATAATATTTAAGGAATATATATTTTTTATTACCTTTCTTTAAAAGCCATGAAAAAATCTCAGATCTTAAAGGAGCATTTTGTTTGTTGCGCCTGCAGTAGGCCTGTGCTTTTATGCCCAGATGGGAGTCCGTATGGCAATAGGCCAGGGCCTCAGCTTTCCTTTTACCTGCCAGAGCTGTGCTGTCCAATATGATAGCCACTAATCATATGTGGCCATTAACCAATTGAATGTGGCTAATCTGAATTGAGATATGCTATAATTGAGATGCACATTTGATTGAAAAGACTTAGGTTAGCTTGGCTGGCATGGCTCAGTGGTTAAGCGTCAACCTATGGACCAGGAGGTCATGGTTGCCTTATAGGTTGGGGCACATGCTGGGTTGTGGGGCATGTAGAAGGCAGCCAATCAATGATTATCTTTCATCATTGTTGTTTCTACCTCTCTCTTTCCTTCCTCTCTGAAATCAATAAAAAAATATATTTTTAAAAAGACTTAGTTTTAAAAAATGTGAAATATCTCATTAAATTTTAAGAATTATGTATTAAAATGATATTTGGGATCTATTGTGTTAAAATACATTTTAAAGATTAATTTCACTCATTTGTTTTTACTTTTTGAAAAATGTGGCTACTAAAAAATTTAAAATATTATTTGTGGCTCATCATTTTCTATTGAATAGTGACTAGGCTAGAGTTTCCTTTTATTTTTATTTAACAATTTTTTCAATTACATTCATATTATTTTGTATTAATTTCAGGTGTATAGCATAGTGGTTAGGTAATCATGTACTAATCACTATGTCCCCCCTGATATTTCCAGTACCGACTTGGCACCATACATAGTTATTACAATATTATTGACTATATTCCCTATCCTGTACTTTACATTCACAAGAATACTTTGTAACTACCAATTTGTACTTCTTAATCTCTTCACCTTTTACATCCTGAGTTTCTTTTTGGATGAGTACTCTCTGAGGCCCAGGTGAATGTGTTCCTTGTACATGGCTCTAGTTAATGTGTACAATTGTTCTTTGGGAGGGACGAGGACTGGTCCTCAACTCTTAGCACATACATATATTGCCTTTCTGTTACCCCAGAGGGTAGAGGCATGACAATTGGGGCTTGGGAGGATGGGTTCTTATGTGTTAAAGTGAATTTCAACAGGAGAGAAAAGAAAAGAGAAAAGATGGGAGTGGCAGCAAGAGGCACTGGGAAGATGCTAAGGAAAGGAATGACATGCAGGAGGGGGAAACCTGGGCCTCAGTGAGGCTCAGGAATGGAGGGGTGCATCAGGAGCCTCTCGCCTGGTACGGGCCTGTCACCTTCTCTTTGACCTCTCCTCCAATCTTTTATTTTTTAAAATATATTTTTTAAAATTAATTTTAGAGAGAGGAAAGGAGAGGGATAGAAAGATAGAAACATCTATGAGAGAGAAACATCTATGATTGGCTGCCTCCTACTGGAGTTGGAGCCTGCAACCAGGGCATGTGCCCTAACCGGGAATCAAATCGGTGACCTCTTGGTTCCTGGGTCAACTCTCAACCACTGAGCCATACCGACCGGGCCCCTCCAAACTTTTCTTTCCCCAGTGTTCCCCTTCCTTTCAGGAAAAGTTCTCTCTACCAATTGGCACAATGAAGAAAGGGTTTACTGTCACTCCAGAAGGCAATCTGGTCAAAAGGGTAGAATAGTTTGCAATGTAGGTAGAATAGTTTGTTCACCTAATTCTAATGATAAAGGGGCAAAAATGCAGCAGGTGGCATTCCATAGGCATTGTTGTCAGTAGGTCTACATTTCTGTCTCTGTCCTCCCAGAAGAGAGTAGTAGTAGAGAAAGAGAGGCCGGGTGTCTTGGTCAGCTCAGGCTCCCATAACAAAATACCACAGACTGGGGGATTTAACAGAAATTTATTTTGTCAGAGTTCTAGAGGCTGGATGTCCAAGATCATGGTTCCAGCATGATTGCGTTCTGGTGAAAACTCCCTTACTGGTGTGCAGATAGCCACCTTTCTGTGTGTCCTCACCTGGTAGAGAGAAACCACAAGCTCTTTGTGTTTCTTCTTATAGGGGCACTAATCTTAGTAAGAGAGCCTCATCCTCCTGACCTCATTGAAACCTAATTAATTTCCAAAGGCACCAACTCCTTCTACTACTACATGGGGGGTTAGGGATACAACACATGAATATGGGGGTGGGCGCATTCAGACTGCAGCACAGGGTGAAGACAGTTGGAAAAGGAGTAGAGAAGGAATGTGAAGGTAAGAAAAGGAGCAATGGCATGAGGACTTCTATTCCTACTGCACCGTTTTTGTGTATTAAATGAAAATGATGATGTGATAAGTTAAAGAATATATACACCAAAAAAGAAATTTTTCATAACAAGTGTATTTTACTACTAAATAACCTCTTTACACCCAAAACAAAAATATGTATGTCTGTTTCTAAACACATTACAAACATCAAAAGTGTTTTAAACTCTTCAACAAAGTGGGGGACTCTAGGAGTCTCAGATCCTATTTTATTGGAAATAACCCAAGGCCACAGTTTTCCAGACTCTACCACTAACCTTCTCATGACCTGCTGTCTCCTAGTTGAGGCTCCCTAATCTGGAAGGGATGTGTGGCCCTAAGGTCCCAGCAGTGTTACATGTCCCCAAATCTCAAACACCTGTGGTCTCTGCTAGGCTTTCCCTAGCAGCTCAGGTAGCCTTGCCAAGGCCACGGCCAACCTGGAGTGTGAGGTTTTGCCATCTGAACAGATAATCTTAGGTGTAACCCATACCAGAGGCTCAAGGAGAACCAGAGACAAGAGAAATTCTTCTCATCTGTCAGAGAGGGGGTGCAAATCTGATTAGCCACAGTCAGAATATGAACTCATTAAAATGGCTACTGTTGTGGAGGTTTTCACAAGCACACGCCATTTTTCACGAATTCTTCTCTGTCTGCCTCCAAGAGTGAGAATGAGGGCTTTCGGGCATAGCGAAGAGGAGGTAGGAGAAGGGGTGATGTAGTTGCACAGGTTTAAAAAGGTTCAGGAAGAGGACAGATAACGGAACCCTCTGCCCACAGATGGGCCAGACTGTGCTTAGTTCTGTAATGTCAGCCTGGAAAGAAAAAAGGCCCAGAAGAAATTGTGACATTTGCCTTTGACTATTTCCAACTTCTCATTCTTCATATTCTCAACACTCTTAGCAAAGTGCCACGTGAGAATTCTGTCAAAATGACTAAATAGTTCACAGCAGAACAAATTATGGTGTAAGGAGTATCTTAGACACTGAGGATTGGAATGTGCATTTTGTGAGCGATGTGGTCCCGCCTGTTTAGGAGTTTTTTCTACAACATCCCCAGCTGATTATTTTCTAAGGGAGTGGCTCTTAGACACTGGTGTCCCTCCAGCTCTTCAGAGATCACTTGCCAATTGGAATCAATGAATAAAATTTGTGTTTGGCCATCACGCAGCTACCCACTGTTGCAGAGATATCCGACAGGTGTGGAAGGCTGGGAGGGACATAGGGGAGGAAAGCAGGCTGCAACTTGCTAATTCGAGAAAGGAGATGTGGTGGAGAGGCAGGACCAAGAACCTATGCTACCTGAAAGCATTGCCTGGGGAATCCAGGAAGTTAATAGTTCTGTGTAAACAGTGATGCAG